ATTGCGCAATGGCTGTAACGTTAGACTAAGTACCCGTGATAATGTCTGTTGTGTAGTCTTGTATTACGAGGGAAGCACTAATAACCAGTGGCTAATRACCAGTAGGAATTGCGCAATGGCTGTAATGTTAGACTAATCTCCCGTGATAATGTATTCTGTGTAGTCTTGTATTACGAGGGAAGCACTTAATAACCAGCAGCTAACCAACCTGTAGCCCTCGCTCTATTTTCAAATTGGAAATTAAAAATAGATTTTGTGGAGGGAGAAAAACCGGAGAACCCGGAAAAAAACCCTCGAAGCACAGGAGAGAACCAATAAGCAAGTTTGATAACATATAATGGAGATTCAGGAGACCTAACTCTATACCACAGCGGTGAGAGGCAGCCGCAAGTTTCAGCTACTTGCTGACGCGCAACGTTTAAAATCATGAACGACAAGAAAAAACAGGATATTTTATGAGAGTAGTGCTTAATTTTGTGTCAAGAAAAGGGAGCGCGCAGAATCCATTTTTTTGTCAAACTAATAGTGAAATTTCAAAATGTTGATTCGTAGCGATTTGACGGGGACGTGCCTCGTGAGCATGCAGAACATCTCGCAGCAGACATTGCGGCCTACCTCGAGTACAGAAAACAATGTCCGCAAGAGAGCAACCATACCGATTCGGTAAGTACAAGAAGCATAAGTTTTTACATCTGTTTGCAGTAACATCCATCTTGCGCGATGTACCTTTTTCAAAGATAAAGATAATGGCCTTTTTTCGTGTTTTGGCTCACACCTTCCGTCAAAGTTACTACGGTCTGAGTTCGGTCTGAGTTCGGTCTGAGTTCGCAAGAATATGAAACGCGCATCTAAAGGAGGTCGATCTACGGTGCTTCTTTTACCCTCTCTTTACTAAACCGTTTCGTTCTATGCATTTGAATCCAAGCTACGTAGATAAAAAAGAAGTAGAAACGTGCGTGATGAGTGACTGGTAAATGATACAACGATCTCTAGCTAAGAAGGAAGCATAATTTTTTTCTATTGATGCTTGAGAAGATTCCTTTATGAAATGCGTAATATAAGTGTACATATTTAACAGCAATTTGAAATTATAGATTATCGGAGCAATAATTGTATAGGGTGCAAACCAGATATCCGTGAAATCGCACGAAAATTAAATAGCACTAGACACTTTTTAGTTGGTGCTATTTCGTACTGAACAGTTAATATTATTCCACGAATATATAGTTTGCACTCTAATGTAGTTAACAATATAGTAATTCTTCCCAATTTCTTAAATTTTCAGTCAGCGTCAAAGCCAAACGAAGAAGATGAAATAAGTATGGCGTAAGTATTTACCACAAAAGACTTCCCTGATCGAAGTTAGGTTTATTTCCAAGCCTATATTGATTTTGTTTACCAACCTGCATCTCCAGGGAATCCGCAGCCATTGCACGTGCCAGGTCACTCAGTCGAAGGCGTGGTTCCGCAGTAGTGACGTTGCCAGGGGAACGAAGTTATCAAATGGACCTCCACGTGTTTAATAAACAAGCGGATCGATTTGGTAAGAAAATTTTGAAGCTTAGGTTATGATAACTGGGGTTAGCCTTCTACATAGGTCTTGGGATCCCTGTCTCTTCTACACACCACAGGTAACCCCATCAAAGAAATAGAGAGTCCTACAGAGGAATATAAAATGCGGTTTTTGGTTCTTGAAACAAGTGCGCTGTTTTGGTGCGTGACACTACTGCTCCTCGATAAATGAATGTGTTACAGGAGTTTCACGAAGCTGTCACACCAGTCACCGTGATACCGTGACACCGTGAGTCTTGCACAGGTCGCGCTGGTCTTATAAATGCGTTTATGATACTGCGCTTGAATAAACTAGCATGACAATAAATCATAAGATTTAACCAAGGATTTTCAGTTGGTTATAGAGAAGTGCGTGTTGCGTGACTGTCACGAACTCCTTTGCGCATCAAATACTAAGCAATTCTTAATTTACTTTAGATAAGTCGTTACTTCATGAGAAATCCATGTTGCATGACAAGAGGGATTTATCAGGTTCTACGACATCACTGAATAGTATAGGTAAGTAAATGTTGACCTTTTATCGCTCTGTGGTGAACGGAGTGGTTTATAGATATTATTTCAAAAGAAACCCCTTTCCTCAGTTATTTTAATACCCTGGCCGGGAATGAAATCCGCAACCTCCAACACGACACTGCGCCTCAATATCGACTGAACCTGATATGATTTCTAGAAGTACCAAGACTAACTCTCATTCAATCCCATTATAGGKGATCCAGAAAAAAGATCTCGGTGGTCGATTCTTAAGCGCAACAAAAAAATAGTAAGTGTAGAATCAGTCTTTTGCCCAAGAAAATCTTCAAAAAACACACCTTCGAATTTTATGAAACTCTAAAACAACCTCTGGTCTGTTCTAAGTCATGGCGTGGCAAACTCCCAGATCGAATTGGAATTTAGTGTGTTAGGTTTTAACATAGTTAAGAGAAAAACCTTTGAATCAAGGGAGAGACCTAACAAACTCTTCTCACATGTTAAGCCAGCTGAGTACGGGAATAAAACCCGAGGCCCCAGAGGTGAGAAGCGAGCCATCCTTGATTCCCAAGAATGACTCTGGCAATTGTTTGATGTTCTTCGTGTTTTATTTCATTTCGAACTTTAGATTTATGGTAAAGATGCCAGACGACAGACGGAAGACTTTAAAGAAGCCTTGAGTCAGTTACGAGAGAATCCAAAAGGAGCGATAGAACACGAACTAACTGAGTATAAAGTAAGTCCATGGTAGCTACAATCCACTCTTGCSCTTTGCCATGATTTTGTCTCTCATGAGTCAGTGGGGTTAACTTACACCCTAGTCCTTTCGCAATTAATGCGCGCACTCGTCTGCTTTGCCCTGTGAAACACTGTGCACTCAATGTTTGAATTGGGACTTTTTCCTTGTAAATCGTTGCGGTTACTCTACTCTACTCTACTCTATAGTCGTGCAATTGCCCTGTAAATCAGTGCACAACGTTTGCCCAGTCTCATGACAATAAATGTTTTACTTTAGGATAGCCACTGGACACAGCTAATACCCAGTCCTCGTGGAACACCCCGCCGACCGTTATCTGAAGGATTCAGCAGTCTCTCGAGTCAAGAAACAAAACGACGTGAAGCACTGTGGGAGCTCTTTCACAGTGAAGTGGTGTACCTCATAGATCATCTATTGGTCCTAAATGAAGTATTCCTGGAACCTCTAAAACTACTTCAACACATGGGTTACTTATGTGTTGTAAATAGTTCCAAGATATTTAGTAACGTGAAAGGACTGTGTGAGGTAAGAGCTCCCTACGCTATAGACCGTTTTCTCAAGGTTGCTTGCGCATCCAAATTTATGGAACTTGACGGGCCACACGATACTTGTACAAAAGCTTTACGATCAAAATTATCATACATTTCTATTATTCAATACATTTATATTTTTCAATAAAAATCTATCAAATCGATTATTCTCATTTTTAAATATATAGAGGATATTACATGGGCGCGCGGAGATACGAAATTTATCTTCGAGTGTTGAAAAGATCTCTCACAGGTGAGCGCAGTGAACGAGTGAGAGATTTTCAACACGAGAAGATAAATTGCGTATCTCCGCGCGCCCATGTAATATTCTGTTTATTATATATTTATCCATAAAATCAACTTAATAAGCTTTTTATTATTATAAAAAGTTTTTATTTATAAACTATAGCTTAAATACACATGGTAACGATATTTTCACATGTGAAAATAACATGTTATTTTCACATGTGAAAATATCACTTTTTCGAAAAGTAGAAATATAGGTATTTTATGGATAATTATATGATAAATATTTTTTATTTTCTAGGTCAGCGCTAAATTCGCCGCCGACTTGTTGTTAGTTTTCAAAGGGGATCAGTCTAAACAGTTTGGTAACACAGCTGCTGTAGTCACGGCGTTCACAGAGGTAGGTACAGCAAAATACGAAAGAAAAGGATTGGTGATTTAGCCAGCTAAATCTAAAATAGTGACGTAGAAATGAGCCTGCAAAAATGTACCAGTGAAAAGCGCGTATCAGCAACGTTTTCTTTTTATTTGGTAGCATGAAAATCCACAATTTCAAGAGATAAAGTGACACCTCAGTTTTGTGAATTTTCTCGATTCTGACTGGCTAACATTTTTTCTTACATCAGCTGGAAGGGTTTGCAAATACAAATGCAACCTATACCAATGGTAACTCTCTTGCGTTTAATAAAGACATTCTCTCTTTCTTAGTTTGGATCCAAGCTACAACCTCAGTACCAGGAATATTGCCTGAACTACTCCAAGGTGTTGGGCTACCTGGACCACTGTAAAAAGTCTGACGATTTCCAGGAATATGTCAAGGTATTTTTTTAGAGAGGAGGAGGGGGAATTCGGACGTCTCTAAAGAAGAAGACAAGGGAAATTGTGTTTTTTTTGTTAACCTTCAAAATAATGAAAAATAGGAATGGAAAATTACCAGGTTTTAAGGGGAGGTGTTAGCTTAAGGGTAAGTAAAGGGAGGGAGTTCATTCTCTGAGATAGAGTTAAGGTTTTTAACCCGTGAAATAAAACATACTAGTCACTATGATATAATCAAATAGACACAAAAGAAAACAATGGAATTAGGGTATATTAGTATGTATTAGTCTAACATATATTGCACAGGTTTAGTGATTTCACTCTACAAATGTTCTATAATGTGTCAAATAACTATTTTATATTTGATCTCTTTTGTGTCAGTGGTGCGAAGCTGATCCTCGGTGCAACCGACTTCAACTGACAGATTTGTTAGTGGCACCTCTACAACACTTGACTAAATATCCATTACTCCTTAAGGTTAGTACATGGTTACTGCTATAAAATATGACATAGATTTCTTTATTGGTTTGAATTGCTGGGTTTCAAACAACTGATAATTAGTCTTTGAATTTCATCATCTGCTCCAAATGGTGGTCAAACAATGACTCATCACCAAGTACTGTCAGCCAGAAAGAATGCTATTGGGAACTTGCGATTTAGGTGATGAACATTCTGTACGGGATATGAAATGACATCAATTGAAACCAGCAATTATCATCAAATAATGGATTAATTAATGGAACTATTTTGATAGTTTTCTGTTGAGTGTTAATGGTATGTTGTGTTCGTGTAGAACATTCGTGAAAGAACGTCAGAAGGCGAAGATGAGCACAGCTCTTTGTCATCTGTTATCAAGTCTGTAGAACGTTCAATCAGTAAGTCACAATACACTCGTACGTTTACATGATGATGATACATGATGATACACGATGATGATGATACATAATGGATACATGATGATGATGATACATGATGATGATGAT